TCAGCGGTAGTACAGGTGTAGTGTCAGCGGTAGTACAGGTGTAGTGTCAGCGGTAGTACAGGTGTAGTATCAGTGTTAGAACAGGCGTAGTAACAATGGTAGTGCAGGTGTAGTACGAACGGGTCGGAGGACTTGGGAATCAGCACTCCAAGTTCTTTAATGCGGTCGTTAATGTTGAAGCGTCTCCTCCTCTCGACTGAAAGACAGAACAATGTTTAAATGTGTTGGTACTTCTGAAAACAGCTACAGTCAGAAGGTCAACCTTTTTAAACCAGAAAACACCTGGAGCTCTACAGCTCTGTGTCCAGACAGAACAACTGGAATGATCTGTTGTTCTTCTAACTATGAAGAAAGTTTAATTATAGACTGGACCTGGTGTTGTTTCTATGGTGTTTTGTCAAGACTACAGGGAATGTTTCACCAGAGTTTTAGCAGCTGTGGACTGAATTTCTGGCACTTACTCAGGTTGTGGTTGTCCTTCTTTTGTCTCTCCTTTATCAGTGCTTTGGTCTCCACATCTATAAGAGCAAGAACATCAGCAAGAACATTAAAAATAACAAGAACATCAGCAAGAACCATAAAAACTAAACATCGAGGAATACACATCCTCGGTCCTTGGATATTTTAGCAAGTGTGCTGATGACGTCACCGCAATCAGAAATGTTAACAGCTACCCCAACCAGAATCCCTGGCTGAATGCAGAGGTGCGTACCCTGCTGGAAGCCAGGAACACTGCCTTCAGGTCTGGTAACTCATAGGAGCTGAGTAGGACAAGGAAAGAGCTGGTTGCTGGTATTAAGAGGGCCAGGACCACATATGCACAGAGGATCAAGGGTCAATTCACCTCACAAGAACCTCGGAGCATGTGGAGGGGCATTAAGTGTAAGATTATAAAAGCTGGAGTGAACAACGTCCTAGAGACCCATCACTGCCTGATGCCATCGAGAAGTTCTATGCACGCTTTGAAGACCTGAACAGACTACCCAGCACCAGACTCACCTCACCACCGGAAGAGTTGTTCCTCAGCGTGACCTCTGCTGAAGTAAGGAGTACTTTCAGGAGGACTAATCCTCACAAAGCAACTGGTCCAGACAACATCACAGGGAAGGTGCTGAGAAACTATGCCTATCAGCTCTGCGAGGTGCTGGCCAACATCTTTAACTCCTCGCTCAACCTGGCAACAGTTCCCACCTGCCTGAAGACTGCCACCATCATCCCAGTCCCAAAAAGCTCTACAGTGACTGGTCTGAATGACTATCGGCCAGTGGCCCTCACCCCGATATTCACTAAATGCTTCGAAAGACTGGTCATGACTCACATCAAAACAACCATCAACATCAGCGAGGACCCTCATCAGTATGCATACCGTGAGAATCGATCTACAGAAGACACCATCTCCTCTGTGGTCCACACTGCTCTCACCCACCTGGAGCAGAAGGACTCCTACGTCCGTATGATCTTTGTGGACTTCACGTCTGCCTTCAACACCATGATCCCCCAAACCCTGATGGACAAACTACTCACACTAGGACTAAGCCCCTCCATTTGCAACTGGGTCCTAGACTTCTTAACAAACAGACCTCAGTTTGTGAGGCTCCACATCTTCTCCTCCTCCACCATAACCCTCAGCCCTGGCTCCCCTCAGGGATGTGTGATGAGCCCTAGAGAATGACATTTTTTCGGGAGTACCGCCAGTCACGTGATTCTGGCCGAATTACGGCGGGACCGGAGTCAACCTCATTATAACTCACGTGAACGGGACGTGACCGGACTGAAAGCTAACGGGAGCAGACAGGCGCGGGAACCGACCCATCCATCCATTATCTTTACCCGTTTATTCCATTTTGGGTCACGGGGGTCGCTGGTGCCAATGTCCAGCAATCACTGTGCGAGGGGCGGGGTACACCCTGGACAGGTCGCAAGTCCATCACAGGGACACATAGAGACAAACGAGACAAACAACCATTCACTCTCTCACCCACACCTAGGGACAATTTAGAGTTACCAATCAGTCTAACATGCATGTTTTTGGTCTGTGGGAGGAAACTGGAGTACCCGGAGAAAACCCACGCATGCACGGAGAGAACATGTAAACTCCACCCAGAAAGGCCCCTGGACCGGGGTTTGAACCAAGGACCTGCTCGCTGAGAGGCAGCAGCTCTACCAGCTGCACCACCGTGCTGCCCCAGGAACCGACCAATAACCAAAAATGAAAATGAAAAAAAATAAAAAATAAAAAAATAAAACACGGGCGCAGCTATTTTGTAGTTTTCTTTCAGTAAGCCTTCACTTTAACACAAGTCAAAAGGACTACATTTCCCAGGAGTCAAGTGTTCGATCCGTAGCTTTTCACCGCGAGGGGGAGGAGGAGCAGCGAGGGGGAGGAAGAGCAGCGAGGGGGAGGAGGAGCAGCGAGGGGGAGGAGGAGCATCAGTGAAGTGGTACAGAGTAACTGAAAACAGTTTTCAACTCAAAGTAAGAAGTAAGTGTCTATTAAACTCACAGAACAGGCAGGAAAGTGTCAAATAACCTGAACTTCATGAGAGTTGTGTTGGTGCTGTGCTGCTTTAAACTTTAGTCTCAGCTGTGAGGAGCTGCTTTGTTTACCGTCAGTAAATAAACTCAAACAGCACATTTTTCTCCACCTTGTCCCTTTCAATTTAAAAATTATGTTCTGCTTTGTTATGTGGGTTTTTAGTTTAAAATCTTCATTATCTGTTGCTGCTTGTAATGTAAAAAAACTCCTGAACTCTTCCTGGTTAAAGTGCACGCATTCTCCGGTAAAAATATCCCAGTTTTTATATGAAAGGCTGGTTACATATAAATTATAATAACTGTTATTGTGGGGGGGACATATTGGTGCGAGGTCTGTGGGTCCTCCCCATAACTTTTTGAATAAAGTAGCTGCTGTTTCCTGCATTCTGGTGTATTTTAACAGGTTTAAAACATCTATGTTTACCTACATAAGTAAATCCTTTATTCAATAACTGTTTTATAAAGCATGGCACAAGAAGTAGCACTAAGCTTTTTGTTTGTCTTTAATTTAATTTAATTTTTCTACCCAACACAGGAAGCTGTTAGCTCTGGAAGCAAACTGTTAAACAGCTTTGGACACAAAGACCCTTGTCCCACACTTCAACAGAGCAGGTAAGATACAGAACATCTTGTAATCTCTGCCTGGTGAGGCTCATTAAATAATTATAAAATATGATAAGTGAAATAAATAAATAAACATTGAGCTTCTGTAATTTATAATTTCAAATGTCACATTTTCTTGACTTAGTTTCAATTGTAAATCTCTTGTTTTTGATAAAATATTTATTTCCAAAAGAAAGACCAACAGATTGTAATTTGTAGTCACTGTGACACTATGTTGACTCGTGCACGTCTTCTGTCACTTTCAGGTTCCACAAGGCTCTGGACTGGTCCAGCTGTGGAGAGATGAGGTGGAACACCAGACCTGCAATGGTCCAGTCTGTAAATGAAGCTCTGAAGTCTGGGAAGATGCACGACATCATGCTTCACCCAAACGAGCTCGTTACCTCGACCACACACACTGAACTTCTGGAGGACGTCGTCCAGTGTATAATAACGCCTTTAAACATTTTTATTTGTTGACTTCTCTGCTTGGTACATTATTTTTATTTTTATTTGTTGTTTGTTTAAACAATTTAAAACATGACAGTGATGTCACTGTTTAAAGGAAACAATTGTTCAATAAATTAGTAAAATGCAACTTGTTATGTTTGGGTTCTTTCATCTAAGGTAGACATGGTGTGACCCATGGACTGGTTTAGATTTGTTGTTTTTACTGGAACTGACCTTCAAAAGAGCCAGAAACAGACTCATCAGCTGATCCTCCGTAGAAACATTATATGGACTACAGACCATGGATTATTTGTTTTATGACATTTAGTGAAGGTTTTTGTTTGGATTAAGGAAATAAATGTCTCTATTTCACCACAGATGAATTGTTCCTGTTGACATATCTTCTGAAATAAAACTGCACAACACAAAGTAATTTAAACAGGAATGGGTAGAAGATCAAATCAAATTCAATGTATTTCCTAAAAAATAAATGAAAAACAGGAGCAGGAGTCGTGTTACCAGGAGTGGGACAGGACAGGATTAATTTTTTACTCCGGACCAGGATTGGGACAGGACAGGATTTCTTCTGTGGGACCAGGACAGGAGTGAAAATCCACTCATGTGTCATCCTCTACTAGCGATAGCCTTAAAGGGCTACACCTATACTCATAGAATCTGGGGTTACAGTACGTAACCAACATTTTTCTACCTGGATTATTGAGCATGCATCAGGATATTCCACCACATGCATCACATGTGGTGTGAATGACCAAAAAAAAAAAAACTTAATCTTACAAATAAAATGAACATCAGCAAGAACCATGAAAAACAACAAGAACATTGAAAAAGAACAACAAAAAAGGTTAAATCATGTCATCTGGACCAGTTTCTTTGAGAAACGTTTCGTCCTCCATCCAGAGAACTTCATCAGTCTACGGCCTGCCAACCAGATCTGTCCCACAATTAGCCTTCGCTGCTGTGTTTCTAGACAACCACCCATTTTGGAATCTCAGAGGAAGGCTTATCAATCATCACGTACAACAAACTAATGTTTTAGGCCAGATGACCACTTGCTACTCACAGAAACAGCCTCAGGACACCAAGGCCAAAGTGGTTCAAAAGAAGTCTACTTCTGAGATTCCAACAGGAGTTTGGCTTGAAACACAGCAGTGAAGTCTACGTATGGGACAGATCTGGTTGACAGGTTGCAGACTGAAGAAGTCCTCAGGATGGAAGACGAAACGTTTCTCACTTAAAAAAACTGGTCCAGATGAAATGACTTAACCTTTTTTGTTGTTACCTACCTGGATGATTGAGTTTACAACCCTTTTTAAATTCAAAATGAACATTGAGAAGAACAAAGACAGTCAGAATAAAGCTAGTTGTGTTCTTGGTCCAGATTCTGTTCAGTTTACAAGAACACTTGACCCCTTTGCTGTAGAACTGTAACTTTCACGGTCAGTTCCTGAAGGACTCAGTCCCATGGACTTGGACCCTCCAGACTCGGACTACAGTACTGCTACTAAACATCAGAGACACAATCAAGAAGACTTTGCTTTTCTAACTGAAAGACAGGTCTGTATCAAACATCCTGATCCAGAATGTTTGATACAGACCTCCTGATTCAAAACTTGATGCAGAACTTCTGAATGAGAACCCCTGCAACAGATCTCCTCGTCCAGGACTCTTGTTCTAAAACACCTGATCTAGAACTCTTGATCCAGAACTCTTTATCGAACACCTGATCCAGAACCCCTGCCTTTATATTTTCTGTGCAATGACCCAAACATTCCTATAAACTGTTAAAAGCAGTTCTGGATCAACAGGTCTCCAGACTTCCTGAAGGTACTGCAGAGTGTTTTTGTGAACTTCGGCTGCCTTCTTCTCAGTTTCAGCAGTCGGACCTGAACGTCTCCAGATGAATGGTTGAATTCTGTTCTCATTCAGATAGAAAAAGGTTCCTAAACTCGAGTTCTGTGGAGCCAGAAATGAGTGAACCAAGTGGAAACCTTCAGTCTCTTCAGTCACAGAAACACAAGCGGTTCCTGAACCCATGAAAACCCCAAAGATATCAAGTTTAATTTTAGCTCCGACAGCTGATTCTCAAAGAGCTGTTAGCTGAATGATCAGCTGAAAGATGATGGATCCTCAGGTTCTGGTTCACGTCTTTCAGAACCTGTTCATCTGCTGAAGATCTACAGACCTGAAACATTTTCTGTCCTTCCGTTTAGTCAAGTTTTTAGGGACACACTGGTGCACCATGTTTCCTGTCTGTCACAGCTTCAGCCAATCAGACGGTCTAATGAAGGAGCGACTCCTGTGATTGGCTGAAGGTCCGTGTCGAACACTATAAAGCCCATCTGGGGTCTGGAACGTCTCTTACCGCTCTGCTCTCTCTTCACAACATGCAGGTCAGCCGGACAGCTGTTGCTAACCACAACGGTGGGTGTGGACATCCCTCCATGCACGTCCAGCAGGTTCCCCGACACCGGCAGCTGTAAGGGACCAATCAAAGAGGAGAATCAGACAGACAGATGAAAAACATTTCAACACTGAACCAATCAGCTTTAAGCAATCTAACCAGCTAACTGCAGGGGGAAACTCTAGGTCCTCTGAGGCCTAGTACAGTCATCTGAAGGTCTGTGAGGTCCCTGTGAGATCCAGAAGCATCTTCTGAGGCTCTGTGAGGCCCATTAGGGTCTTCAGAGGCTCTTTGAGGTTCCTGTGAGGCCCAGTAAGGTCCTCTGAGGCTCTGTGAAGTCTCTGTGGGGTTCTGAACTTGAATGGATCTATTTTAATAGGCCCTTTTCACATGACGTCAGACAACTTCCGTTCTGACTTGATGCAGTGGATCAGCACTTCCGGGTCTGTTCTCCCTCGGGAGACCTGTCTGTAAATTTCACTGAATTTCATTCCTTCAACCTTTATTTATAGAGATTAAATTACAAGATATAGCACAAGGTAAGGTTAATAAAAACTGTATTTATGTGCTAGTTAGCTGTGGTGACGTTATCCATCATTATCAATTTACCATTCTGTAACTGTGTAAGGAAACAGCCTCTGATTGTAAAGTAAGCTAGCAGCTAACAGGTAGCTAAACTCTACACTGCTGCTGCTGTCAGTGCTGTAACATTAAAATGTTTATCTTTATCTATTAATGTAAAATCTCTGACATCTTCCAACACTGTTGTTTAGAATAGCATTTTAAATATTGAATTAAAAACTATATGTCAGAGCATTTCCATGTTCTGATGATTAATAATTTCTCTTTTTACTTTCTGCTTGTGTCCATCTTTCTCAGCAGCAGCTCATCTAACCAGCATGACACAGTCATCAAGACGTTGTTACTGCAGTGTGCCAAGTTGTTCCAGCAATAAACAAAAAACACCGTATTTGAGTTTCCCCTTTGAAAAAGAAAGGAAAAGAACCAGGAAGGACAGATGGTGGAGGATTAGGGTTGGAGAAGTTGGAGAAGCTCAAATTCAGTGAGCTCAGATGTCACGTCCTTTCATGTTAAGACTCAACACAGTGGAAAAGGGTGAAAGTCCAGCAGGAAGGAAGAGAACCTAACCATCTGGCCAAGATGGACGCAAGCCTCAAAACCAAGCACCCACAATCCAGATTATGGGACCTGAAGGGCCAACTCTGGTGGTTTTGCCCATGAACTCAGAAATCATCAGCCCTGAATCTTGTCAGAAAAGAGAAGACAAGGACATGAAGTGAAAACGAAGGACCCGTCTGTCTGTGAGTCAGACGCCCACATCAGCCGACCTGAACAAGCCTCAGGAGGACGAGGAAGGAGGGTGTAACATCAGACCTCCTCACAATTACTTTTTCTACTACTGGGACCAGAGTGACAGCCAAAGTCACCAGACGAGACCAAGGGGGGACGGGTTAGTGGAGCAGACGGTGTCACCAAAATCCAGCTGGTTTTAGAAAAGGGAAATGAAACATGCACACATGCACATACATTCAGAAAATAAGCTAAAGGAGATCCAGTTGAAACAAAAAAATATATAATTTGTTTATTTGTATTTGTAAAGAAACAACAGGGTGAGATTATGTTACCAACTGGTGACTGAAGCTTTGTATAGAAGTTGTTCTGCTAGTGTCATCCTGCAGGAAAACTGACTGACATGAGTTCTGGAATAAATAATAATAATAATACTTTATTTATAAAGCCCTTTAAAACAACCACAGCTGCCACAAAGTGCTGTACATATAAAATCAAGAACATTTAAACACATAAAAACAGTTGTTAAAACATTAAGATCAATAAAAATAATAAAAACTGTGCAGATCAAATTCAGTGTGTGCTAAAAGCCAGGGAGTAAAAATGTGTTTTTAAAAGAGTTTTAAAACTGGACAGTGAAGGAGCTCGTCTGATGGAAGAGGGAGATCGTTCCACAGTCTTGGAGCAGCAACAGAAAAAGCTCTGTCCCCTCTGAGCCTCCGCTTAGACCTCGGCACCTCCAGGAGCAGCTGATCAGCTGATCTGAAGCACCGAGCAGGAGAGTATGGGTGAAGCAGCTCAGAGAGGTAGGATGGAGCAAGACCATTTAAACTTTTAAAAACAAATAAAAGAATCTCATTACAAAGTTCAGTAGAGGCTTCCAGACAGACAGGTTGTGGGGCCTTCAGGACAGAGTCAATAGTTTTAAAAAGGACACGTGGATTATTATGACTGGACACAATAATATCTGTCAAGTGTTGTTTTTTGGCCTCTTTAACAGTGTTCTGGTACTGACAGTCCTTTAAAATGTAAAATGAAACCTCCAGTTTATCCTTCTATCTCCGTTCAACTCTGCGGCACTCCTGTCTGGCTGCAATAGTTTTTTCATTAAACCAGGGTTCAGATCTGGCTTTAGGCTGCACCAGTTTAGATGGAGCTACACAGTTCAAAATGGTTTGACAGTTGGAGTCAAACCAGGAGCTCGGCTGTTCGGTGTCAACAGCAGAGCCAGAGGGAGCACAGAGCTGTTCAAAGGCAGCAGAGAACTGACCAGCAGAAAAAGGGTTAAAAACTCTACGTCGCTGGGCAGGAGCGCAGGATTTAACTGGAGCACAGGACAAACCAACATCAAATAAAACAGACCTATGGTCAGAAATCATATTATCATATAGTTCCAGGTCGTTCACAGACAAGCCGTGAGAGAGAACCAGGTCCAGCATGTGTCCATGTTCATGTGTGGGACCAGCCACC